CAATCGAAAAGCCCTTCGTACTTGTTGCTTAAGGGCGAGGCATCATTACCCAGCCCAGGAAAATAACCAAAAAGATTGCACCTAATTATAACCATGGACACAACCGCGGTCCTCCGTGACGAGCTGAACAGCTGGTATGTTGGTCCTTTCTATTATGCATCACCCATTACAACTTCTTTTCTTCAAAAATCAATTCTTTACTCACGTGAAATAGTGGAAGTCCATAAGGAGGGGTGCGTATTTCTCATGGTCCCCCTGGCCATTAAAAACTGGGGGGATGAAGTCGGACAGTCTCAGTATCTCAGCTATGATCGCATTCCCCCGGGACACCAACTTGAGGATAGTTTGGCCACACAAGTTTTCCTCGGAGAGGAAGTCGCCCTGATTGTCGGCCATGTCTGCAACCCCCACTTTCTACAACTTACTTGTATCTGTTCTATAGTTTTCAACTCTTTAGTCGGGAATTATGTCAATTTACTACTGACCATTTAATCTAAAAAATTAAATTGCATCAGCCCCACCCACCATACACCAACGCGTTCAAAAACCTAAATTTATACACTTTCCGACTTAAAATAAAAGTTTGCAAGAACGCCAGGATCAGAGATGACCTGTGAATTCAATTGAAGCACGTGGAAAAGATGAAGGTGGCATCTATTGTATACACAGAGGCGAAGCTGAGCTTCTCACCACTTGCTTTACACGACAAACATAAAAAACATAAGAAATCGAAAACAAAATTCAAAAAGTTCAATTTTTACCTATTTTTTTTTCAATTGCATGCATACTGAAATATAAGGTCCGGCCCATACTCGAACCCCAGACCTAAGGGTAAAAAGGCGAAAGCGCTAACCCTAGGCCAAGTAGGAAGGAACCTGGAAGAAGTTAAGAGAACAAAAAAGGGAAAAAAGAGAAGAATTTGTCAGGCTGGTTTTCGCAAGTGTAATTAGTTATCTATTAATCACTGTTTCGGCATAATTAATTTTAAAATTTCTTAAATATGGGAGCCAAACAGTCATTATCCAACATTATCCCAAAAATAATTGTCGTACTATATCACTTTGTCTTTTTTGGTCATTGAGCACTCGGCACTTGCCTATCTAGGCCATCTGCAGTGATGTTTAATTGCGCCACTTGGAATTTATTTTCGGAGCGCGTACTTCGTTTTCTTTTTAGCAAATGATTTTAAAATTATTCTTACAAATCCAAAAAATTTAACGCAGAACGCATCAAAAATATAATTCCGCTCTTGAAACGACGTATCACGAGGCAAATAAAACGATTCAAAATAAGCCAAACAAATCATTCAATCAAAAAGTTATAAAAAGCAATTTATACAAAATCACTCATACGAAATCCTGTGACATAGTTATATCCAGAAAATGGTCTAGTAACCGGTTGCAATAACTTTGCTTATCACAAGGGTAGAGAACAAATCCACGAAAACTTCAATTAAAGAACAACTTCCAAAAACGGCTCCTGACTTGAGTCAAATTCAAGGCAATCTCAAAAATCACTTCTAATTGATCAGCACTTGCAGGTCACTTCATCTTAAAAGTAAGAACGAATGATTTTTAAAACAGCGTTAATTCTTTTAATTGCGAAGCCTTGCAGAGCAGAGCCTAAACTTTCTTAGACCTAGCAACTGAATTTGAACTGCACGAAGAAAACATCAAAACTCAAACCGCGAAAACTGTTAGTGATTCGAAAAACGGGCTTTGGCATGTGCGTTACCTCTGCACGCTATTTAAGGATCAACGTCTTGATTTTGATTTTTATGGGCAAAGGTGTCACATGATTCTAAGGATTTTAGCATCGCGAACAAACAGTTGGAAGAAGTCAGTGAACTCAAGCAAACTCAAGCAAAATCTCGAGCTTTCAAGTTTCAAAGAAACAAAATGCTTCCCTTAAAACTCATTGAATTTTTGAAACAATTTATGATTGTCACTTTTGAGTAACCCGGATTCGCAGGAAAACAGACAAAAAAATTGATTTGTTTTTTTTGAACGCATGGTCAGCAGACAGTTGAAAAAGAGTCAATGAACGCAAACAAAAAATACTGAAAAAAACTCAGCTTTCGATTTCCGAAGAAAAAATACATGACCTTAAGGTCATTTGAAACTTTCAAACAATTTATCAATGACACTTTTTTGAATATATTAACCCAATCTGGATCAAAAAGTAAAATTGTTATTTAACTGGGAAATCTGATAACTGAATTCAATTTTTTAAACTAGAAGTCGAGATAGTGGAGTTTGCTTTCCTTTTAACAAAAAACGAGCTGAACTTGAAAAAAAAAACTATAGTCTAACCTCGAAAAAGTAATTTTGAGCTTGAATAAATTTTTTAAAAAAACGGGAAAATCACCACGACCTATTTTGAGTCTATCTACGTTCAGCGATTCTTAGTAAATTAGTCATTTATTCGAGGACCTGAAAAAAGTCTACTCTACGATTTTATACCGCTCGCTAACCTCAAGTGTTAACATACACCAACATCAACTTCAAATCCAATGAAACTTAAAACCTGATTCGCACCAGGTTTTTAACACCTTATGATTCGAAAGCTGTAGCTTCTTTCAACCATCTATTCTATCTGTGAAAAGACTTTAGCGAACATATAGAACAAAAAGATTGAAAAGCGCCAAAGAACCTCAAAAATTAAAGAAAAATCAATTTTTCTGAAACTCTTTTCTGGTTTCCCGAAGCTCAATGTTCTGATGGCTGTATTTGATAGACTCAAATTATAGATATTGTCGGTGGCTGAGAATAGCTACAAGTTTCGGATGAAAAAAAAAGTTTTATTCGAGGTCTCAGACACTTGAAAACAAATATTAAGCTCTTCAATCAAGTGCCAAGCATCTTTTTTGATTAATTTTTACTTACAACGAAAGAACCTCACGCCCTAGCTTCTGCACCATGACCGCTTGATGAGCATCAAACATTAGTCAGCTCGAAAAAGTAAGCATCGAAAAGACAGCTCAGAAATGTGGCACTACGCTCCGCATGTGTAGCAAAGGTCTGTTATAAATTTTTTCATGTTTATCATAATTTTCGCAACTTACAAGAGAAGGTACGATCTCGCCAATCTCTAACAATTATGATTCATAAGAGCTCACTTGACATAATCAAAGCATAGCCAACAGACAGTTGGAAAACAGTCAGTGAACGCAAAGAAACTGAAAAAACACTGACTTATCTTTTGAAAAAACTTGGACTTTTGAATGCCGAAGAGAAAAATAGACGGCCTTAACTCTCTTTGTAATTGTCGAACAATTTATGATGATTGACACTTTTTTGATAAAGTTATCCCAATATGAGAAAACTGGATCAATAGGTAAAACTTTTTTTTGCTAGGTATCTGATAATTAACTTCGGTTTTCCAAATTAGAAGTCGATCACGTTTTTCGTGCCTTTACATTTTTGCTGTTCGATAGTGAGTCAAACCGCAAAAAATCAAATTTGAGCTCGAACAAATTTAGGACTTTTTCCAGGAAAAAAACTCCGAGACCCAGATAAGAGTATTCAGTACGCTCATTAATCTTAAAAACGCAATTCAGTTTTTGAACTTTTCTAACAAAACTTACACGACCTTACAGATCTTATAAATTCAAAAAAAAATTTGATTAACCTTTTTTGATTTAAAATAACCTCGTTTGAAAAAATGCATCAATAGGTCATATTCGACAAACAGGTAAAATGGACAACAACTTTTAAAGAAAAATGACTAGAAAAATAAACAAATCATAAGAAAACTTTAAGAAAACAATTTTTTTTGCATAAATTTTTTGAGTTTTCGATTCTCAACATGGCAATAAAAACTCCAACTACTGGTTTACAACTAAACTTAAGCATACATATAGAGGGGAAGCTTCGCTTCGCAATTACTTGCGACAACACGACAAAAAGCAGCTTTATAAAATGCAATGATAAAAATTTGAAATAAGCCTAAAACTAGTAAAAATTCAGGTTTCGAACCAGCGACCTAGAGATTAAGAGTCTCACTCACTAACCACTCAGCAACGGAACCTTAATAGGCACCAAACAATAGCCACAAATAAAGTAGAGGTCAGGTGCTATGCAATTTCCAATGCCACAGTGAAATTTCCAAATAAAAAGAACACTTTAATTTGCGAGTTCGTTTAGAAAAAAAAGAAGGCTCGTAATAATACACTAAGCTTATCGCAAAAAAATATTTTAAACTGCCTTAACTAAGCATAATAAACCATACTCGATTGCTTTACGAGCTGAAAATTAGACGAAAAATCAAAAATTTCAAATCGGTTTTTCTCGACATTGGAAAAAATTTAGAAGTTTTTTAATGTCGTTTGAATCACGATTGAAAGGGCTTAAATATGATATATCACTCGACCCATTCCAATTATGATTTGTTGTACCTAATTTTGCATGGAAAACAAAAACAATAAAACACCTGAACACAAAGTTCCTCCTCATCCTTCAAATTGGCGGATTAAAAACTAGAGACAGCAGAATACAAATTTCCTCCACATTTTTCAAATGTTCGGACGAAAATAAATTTAATACATGTTCAAATTGAGAAAAACAAATTTAATAGGTATTTTCTATACCACTGGTAAGTCTAAAATGAGAAATTTTTAATACTTTAAGTAACTTTTCGCGTTTCTTGCATTTAAGTTTTCAGAGGAGAGCTTAATTTTAGGAAACATATTAGTTCAAACTGCAAGTAAAGCAATCGAGTCGGTAAAGTTCGTTATAAGAAAATTGGTCAATTAGGCTGAGAAAATTCAATTTCACTCAGTTTTAGAAGCTTCATTTAGCACTTGCTTGGCAAAAAAGTTTATTTGAAGAATTGTTTGAAGACATTCTGTGTTACTTGCACAGCAACTGGCTCTCCTTGTTTCCTTTCGTGATCTTTTCGATCTGGGCCAAGATTTGCCTTTTGATTTTGATATGCTAATTCATATGTTTTTATGTGCATTTGTTTCAACTATGACATACAGTCTCACAGGAAAAAAAGGATAATGTAGAATTGAATTGGCACATGATAAAAAGCAAAACACATGCCCAAATAATATCATAGACTGTATAGAATTGAATTTGATTAGTATAAATGAGAATTCCAAAATGCAAGCATTTTCTGATGTAAAATGAAGTTTTTGTGACACTATAGACCGAAGGATTGTAGCACATATTATATGATGACTACGTCAAACAACCGTAGCAGATATCTTCTCCGAAGTATGAGTAGGGGCCGTGTATTGTTGCTTTTCCTTCTGTCTCTGTACTGACAAATAGGGCGCGGGACCGAACCAACTCAGGGCAACTGGGAGAAATACAAGTCCATGGAACAGTCCACAGAAAGCCACGAGGAGAAAAACCTGCAAACAAAGCAATACGTTCAGCCCTATCGTGCTTATGACTGTAATCAACACTAATTATATAACGCTTTCTGATCTGATCGCTTATAACGCTTGTTGATTATATAACTTCAATTTTATTATTTCAAAGTAAACAATATATGGCTTTACAGCTCTTTGAATTTCCAGAACAATAAATGATTGACATTTTTTAGATTAAATTGACTCAATTTGAGAAAACTTGATCAATTGCTAAAGTTGTTATTTCACTGGGAAATCTAATTAGGAAAGTCTTTTTTCGGAGCTAGAAGTCAGACAGGTTTTTCGTGGCCTTTCCACTTTTCTATTTGGAGACCAATTTTGGCTGCCTTTCAGCAAACGCACTTAATTGATCTCAGAAAAAAGCACATACCTAAGGGCATTCATAAATGCATTTATATGTATGAATACACTTTCTGTAATTTTACTTCCTGAAAATAATCATCACGACCAAATAAAAGTCTGAACTACATTCATCGAAGCTTAACAAGGAGCTTTTGGAATGCTAGAAAAAAGGCTGAATTTTCAAAACAAAAATTTTTAAGACGGAAGTTTCTTAGGCGCCAAAAATAAGCAAAATTAGCCAAAAAATTTTAGTTTGCAAAAAACAGGTATCGACTGCAATCCAAAATTTGGCGTCTCAATACTGGTTGCAGTAACTTACTAGAAAACTGAACCATCGGAACGAAGTAATAAGTAAAATTTTGCTACGCATCGCATTCGAAACTGCTACCTCGAGATTTGGAGTCTCATGCCCTACCCTCTCGGCCGCGAACGCTTAACAATCGGCAAACACTAGTAACAAATAAAGCAGCTACTGTAACAAATAAAATTGCCAATGCGATGCAGCAGAAGTGGAACCAAACAGGAAAAGACACAACTTTGCACTTTGTTAACTTAATACTAATCGAATTTCAAAGCACATGCTATCAAAAAGCCGTAGAGGTGCCTCCAAAATATTTGCCACTTCGTTTGGAAAAAGAAAAGTCGTAATATCACACTACACCCACTTAAGTTCGCAAGCTTAAATACCAAGCGGTAACAAAGCCGAAAAAAACTAAGCATAAACCCTTCATGCCATAAAAAATTCAAAAAAAATTAAGCTAATAAAAAAATTTCAATCTCTTTCGCCCTCAAAACACACACGCGCACATAAACTTTCTTCGGTCCTCAATTGACCCATTAAGAGGCCAATAAGTCAAAAAAAAAACTAAGCAGCAACTTATTAAGCCAATAAAAAACAAAAAAAATGGAAAATGAAAATTTAACAGATCGAGTTGAAAAAATTACAACCAAGCTAAAAGAAAACTTCGATAAGGCCAGATATTTAAAATGCTAACATGTTCAAAATATGTCTGTTGCAACAGAAAGGCCCTCAAGATGAATGAGTCCAGGAGATAATTCATTTAAACAAAGTTATTTACGGGAAAAATTCTTGTACCCGATTGCAATACACTTGCCTATCGCAAGGGTAAAAAATAAAACGTCAAGTTAAAGTTCTTTGAAATGCAAGAATCTTTCATAATTCATTATACTTTCACAAAACTAACCCAATGAGAGATAACTGGGTATATGGTTGAAAATTTTATTTCGCTGGGAAATTTGAAAATTAAAATCAATGCAATTTTTGTTCTAAAACAATTCATCAAATCGGACGGAAACAATATATACATTTTATGGGCGTGAAATGTTTTGTCGTAAAAACTGAAGCATCTTGACCTTCATAGGCAATAAATATGTCTGGAATTTGAATTTTGTAAGTGACTGAACTACATTTGAATTCATTTTCATCTTGTTTTACTTGAGCTTGCCAAACTTGTAAAGTGGAAAATACGAAGAAGGAGGAATGGGCTAAGTCGAAATAGTTACTGCAGTTGATAATTTGCAAATAATAACAGGTGGATTGAATGTTCATGTGGCATGCTTAGTGTGTTACCTTGAAGAAGGTGCTGAACACGAATGACTTGGACATGATGAGTGGGAGGAAGGCAAGGAAGGTGGTGATGCCCCCGTTGAACACTGCAGCCCCCATCGCACGCAGACACTTACGCACACGCTCTGAACACAACAACTACATCACTCAATCACTAATCACACACAATCAATGAATGTATTGCACGACCTAAATGAGCGTCTTCTTTTCGTTCATTGACACTTAGAAACGGATGCAAGTTTTGAACGAACATGATATATTGAGCATAAAATACGCTCACTTTTGGCATTCGACTTTAAATTGCTTGAAGCCAAAAACGAATCTGTTGTATTCATTAGAATTGGCCACAAACAAAAGTTCTCTTTAATTACGAAACAGAACTTTATTGAATTTGCAATAGTCTAAAGGAACGATGTACCACAGTTCAGATGAAGCGGCAAGTAAAAGTTCACATCTGGTTCCAAATAGAACAACGGCATGTCCTATTAAGGAAGAGAACATTGTAGGTGGGGTAGAAAAGGAAGTGGGTTCCAAATGCAGATCAGATCAAAGTAGATTCAATTTGCGTTGCGTTCATCCAAATCAAGTCCCTCGTGCTTTGACAGTTTAAATTATGGAACCATAATAATATTTGCAGCACTTCATGCATGCTCTTAATTGAAAGCTATTTTCCAATCTGAGTTAAAAAGAAAGCTGAAAAGAAAATTTTGTATCACTAATTGGTGCACCAGCAGCCAATTTGACGTCTTCACCAACATCTCACAATTCAATTTTATGAATGTAATTTAAAACTTGTCGTCATTAAGACCTGTCAGTTTAGTCTTCTTCTTTCAAATTAAAAAATATATGAACAAACACTTTGCTGGTGGCTTTACAATAACAATACGAATTAGAAGCAGCTGTTCCATCATAAAATAATAATATTAATTAATTGTAGCTCCCGCAAATCGCAGAGGAGCTATCAGTAGGCCTTAACAGTCCTGTCGAGGATAGTCCATTTGTATTATCTCCCCACATTCCAGACAGTGTTATTTTGCTGAGCGAAGCTGTTTTTTTTACGACTCAAGGCCGTTTTTTTTGCGTCTAGAACTTTTACGTGGTACCACTATTGCAGCCAAATTTGGTCAGGTTGTGGTAGACCTGAAGCTAGAGGTCAAGTGAGAGCTTGTCCTCACACACTATCATTGCCATGGCATGGGATCAAATACACGATTTGTCGATTTCAAAGTGAACGCCTTACCACTGTTCTAAGTGCCTCCAAAAACATAAAATGCAATGGAATCTAGAACCTGTCAATCACGAAATTACTCGTTTAGTATACGATATTATCTGGATGATATTATTACGTTAGGAAAGGTAAAGAGCTTACAATACAGAACAAGGCTATCTACATTTTGTTCCATCTTAAAAGGCTCAGAACACTAGCTTTCAACATGTGAGGTAGGTGCAGTCCTAGAAAAGGTCACAATCGGTCTCGCTTGTACTCCTAATGAGACTTGAGAGGAGGGCGTGGCTCGGATCAAGACATTAGTCAGGAGAGCATGAGAAATGCAGCTAAATAAGTGGCAACTTACGTTGTTTGGAGCCGGAGGCGAGCATGAACGAGTGTCCAATGTGGGCGGCATAGTCCACCACCAGGCCGATGGAGAGGACGATGTTGATGGTGGTCACCACATTGATGGTTAGACCCCAGAAGTACAACACACCCACCACTTCCACCTGCACACAAACACACACAAACACACTCAGGCACAATGGGAGCGGATGAACTTTAATAGTCGATGCTTAATTGTTGTCAATAGCTGTGGCATTGAGAAACTTAATGTGTCAGGAAATGATGTCTTTTAATATATAACTTTTAACAGGGTTGAATCATTCTGTTTTTTGAAAATGATTTGTTGAAGAACCCGTGGGACAATTGTTAAAATTGAGGAAGCTAGGCTTTTTACACCTGTCAATGAATGATTCGTCAGCTGTATTGTATTACGCTGCTCTGCTATATACCAATGTTTTCAATTTTTATGATACAAAATTCGTCTCCTAACAAACTCCCTCATCGAATAAGTTAATCAATGCCACTGCTATCGCCAACCATTTTGCATAAACAATAAATTACTGACTTTGGAGTTATAAATAAAGAGCCAGTTATCAATAAAAACAGCCAATATATAATTGGAGAAGCGTAAAAAACAAGGAAACCAAAACATAGCCAACTGACAATTGGAAAACTGTAATTAAGAGACTAAAAAAACGTTCGGAAACTTGTTCGGCATAATCAAAGCATAGCAACAGACAGTTGGAAAACAGTCAATGAAAGCAAAGTGATAGAAAAAACATAGCCAACTGACAGTTGGAAAACAGTCAGTGAAAGCAAGGTGACCGAAAAAACATTGCCAAATGACAGTTGAAAAGAGTAATGACCGCAAAGAAACTGAAAAACCTTTGACTTATTTTTTTGAAAGCTGGCCTTAAAGCTCTTTGAATTTGTAGAACAAGTTATGATCAATTTTTGATAAAATTACCCCAATTTGAGAAAACTGGATCAATAGATAAAACTTTTTTTTCGCTGGGAAATCTGATAATCAATTTCCATTTCCAAAATTAGAAGTCGTTCACAGTTTCGTAGCCTTTAAATTTTGCTGTTCGATAGTGGAATTTGCCTTCCTTTTAACAAAGGAAGTGAACTGAACTGAAAAAAAAAATCAAAATCAAATCTCAGTGGAGCTCTAAGGCTCTTTTTTCTCAATTTTAACCATTTAAAGAACACTGGATCAAAGGGTTATTTTTCATTCGCTAAAACTCAGAAAATCGAAGTCCATTTTTGTGAAACTAGTAGTCACTCGCGTTTTTTGTGAACTATACAACTTTTGTTTCGTAGTGGAGCTTTCAAATAGAATTTAATTCAAATGAAAGTCAAACCTCGAAAATCGAACTTCCTCTTAAAAAAACCGAAAAATAAAAATAACCATGACCTATTTAAAATGACAATCACCGATTTTAAACAGAAAAATTTCGGATAGACAGAACTAAATAAAAAGAGCAATCTGCCCGTTGAGGACAAAAATTGCATGCGGTTTTTGAATTTTGGGCCACCTTGAGAAATAAATTCTGTCTTAAAAACAAGTTTTTTATGCAAAAAAATTTCAAGCACCACAAATAATCATTAAAATTGGTCGAATGATATATCATATTAAACCCCTTTCAGTCGCGATTTGAAAATTAATCTTTTTTCTAAGTTCTTCCAGTGTCGAGAAAAACTAGTAAGAAATTTTTGAGTTTTAACTTAAGTCGAACTATTGAAGCCATGATAATGTTCGTTAAATTGGTAATGTACACTTAAAAAATGATCCTTCTTTGAGTTAATTCTCTATCCGAGTTTTTACAAATCACTAGAGGTTAAGTTGACTTACCATAGTGAATACGACACAGCAGAGCACTAGGAGTACAGTGATAATGTTGGCGATGAGGATCATACAGACTAGGAAGACCACTGCAAATGCAAGACCCACGTTGCGAAACAGCTCCGCACGGATCACCTGAAGCAGACAATCACAAAGATGAACAACCAAATCAAACTCATCATATTTCTAATTGAATTAACTTTCTCCTCAGTTGCTGACGAACATTTGTAGCCTTGTATTTGAAACAGACCTAACTATAGCACTTCTGTTACTTCAACTACTTTTGACTAACAAGCTTAGGGAACTCACATATCCCGGTTTCGGGGGGGGGGGGGTGGTGGTGGGGTTAAAGGGGATCGATTTGCTTAGCCTGATATTTGGTGTTCAAGTAATCTTTGCGCTAAACCTCCCTCGCTGCTTCCAATATATACTTTGACAGAAGCTAATAAACAATCTACGACTTTTTGACTCCATTACATTAGACTCCCTTACGAACGGTGTCAGAAACTAACAAGAAAAAAAAACGAAATTCACGTAATTTTTTAGTTATAAAACCACTGAATGAAAAGCTAAAAATTAGACCAAGCCCTTTTTTGACCAAAATTGCCATATTTGGCAAAAATCAAATAGTAGCAATCTCTGTCCCGGTCGCTATCCCCTCAAAATTAGTATATTTTAGAATCCTAGTGAGGGAGGGGGGAGGCGTCACCCACACCCTCAATCCGCTTCTGTCAATAACACTGAATAGAAATAAGACGAATGAGTCAAGCGGAGTTCAGCTGAAAAATAAATGCTTGCTGGGCGTGTTTAAACTCACTGTGAAGCCTTCCCACGTGAACAGAATCCTAGAGTAGATGAAGGCATTCTCATTGCCCAGACCCACACTGTCCACTATGGCTCTGGAGTTGTCCATAGCTTCAATTCCTTCCGAACTCTTGGATGTCTTGTAGAACCAAACCAGCATTCTGGAACTCTAAAAGAGAAGCATAAACGTGGTTTCGTTTATTTTTGATATTCAAAAAATTTCTCAAAATATCCAAAAAAATGCCCAAAAAATTATATTTCGTTTTTAAAAAAATTGCTATATGAATTTTATTTCGATTTACTCAAATAGACTTCAGTGAGCGCAACAACGCATCGAATTAGAAACAAAATATCGCAGCTACATTAATTAAAAGAAGACAAACGATTAGTAACTGACCGTGATAACTGTTTGTTCCTCGTTCATATTAATATCCCTCTCATATTTCATTCCAGAAGGACGTTGTAGGAACAAATTGAGCAGCCGAATAAACTCGTCAGCATCTTTTGGACGACCTGCAAAAAAAAACATTCTAATAACATCATAAACCAGTAATTTAAATAACCATTTATGATCCAATTTTCAAGGTCAAACTTCTCGCATAGATAAAAACGATCAGACAGATTCTTTCCTTAACATTACAGTTTTATGAATTTATATTACAATTTTATTAAGGTTAATGGCCATGTAATGATGCAGATAGTTCTATGCTTTTCAAGGCCCATGGTTGATTATACATGAGTCTATTCAAAAAGATATCGCTCAAAAGGAGGTTTTTTAAGAAGAGGTGAAATTGCAATTTCATATACTGCATGCAAAAAAAAACAACGAGTCACTCAAACAATGGCCAGCTGTTGCTTCAAACATGTCATTTCAGATCTCGCAATTGACGTGCGATTGATTTGTACGAGCTACGCTTTTCTCTTACTGGTAAACTTTGACACAGGCGAAGTTGCACTTCGCACACACAAGCAAAAGTATGACCGAAAACGCAACTGGGAAAAACTGAATGAGTAATTAGCCTAATTGTTGTGATAAACTTATTAAATAGTTTCAGAGACGATAGATGATGGAAAACCAAATGCAGGAGAGCGAAATGCAGACAAATATTGTGGCGGAGACGCAAACTGAGAACAACGCGGAGGATCAAACAATAACGACCGAGGAGCAAACAATTCCAGTATTGAGATACAAGGATCAGACGCCATTCACACCAGTCAGAAAAGGAGAAAAGCGACAAAAAATCGATCTAAGTCCACTAGACTCTATTATTGAAGGAGGAGATTTTTCAAGGACCATCTCAGACACCATTGAAGAAAAGATGAAAGCAATAATTCCCGAAATTGTTCAAAAAATAAAAGAAAGTTTGAAAACGACATTCGAGGAGATGCTCAACAAAGCCATAGGAGAAGCAAAACTGGAAGTAAAAAACGAAGTGAAAAGACAGATGGCGTGGCAAAGTCGAGAAATGACCCTCAAAGCTTTGTCCGAATCAGATGTGATTGAAACATATATTAGAAGAGAAAACGTCCGGATAATGGGAATTCCAGAAAACGCCACAAACGACAATCGCCAAAATTGGGAATCAAGTGACGCCACTACAGTAAAGGTGATCGATATTGCAAATAAAGTGGGCAGTAACCTGGAAAAAAGCAATATCTCAATTGCCCATCGCCTTCCTACCCGATCACAAGGACCGAGGCCTATTATTGCCCGATTCGCTAATAGGAGCTCAAGAATTGATCTTTTAAGAAATAAGAAGAAATTCAAAGACATCGATGAACTGAAAAATGTACGAATATTTGAGGATCTAACGCTGGCAAGAGTGAAGTTTTTTAATATGATGAAGACAGATACGAGAATTGAAAATGTATGGACAAGAGAGGGAACAATAAACTACAAACTAGCTGGAGATTCAAGGGTGCAGACTATCAAGAGATTGTTTGAGGGAGGGTTGAAATTGAAGTATCTATTAGCTGATCTAGAGCAATGCTTTGTAACTAACTAACAACCAAAATTGAAAAAAGCAGGTGCTAAAATTGATACAATGCCAATTAGTGTGCTACTTATAAATGCTAGAGCGTTAAAAAAACACAGCGAAGAATTAGAAGCGCTAGTATATAGTCTGGAGTCACCACCTAATATAGTAGCTGTCACTGAAACATGGCTAGATAAAGAGGATGATGAAAAACTATATAAGTTAAGTGGATACAATGTTGTATCCAAGCCCAGGCCAACAAGAGGAGGAGGAATCTTGTTTCAATCACTAAAAGAAGTTAAAATAATTAAAGTTTTGGATTGTTCCATTGATGAAAGCCTTATGCTAGAACTGAAAATAAGAGGAAACAAAGTAATTTTCCTGATGATATACAACCCACCAAGGAATAACAAATTGGAGTTCATTGAAAAACTGGATGAAGTATTGGAGAGCTTGCAATACTTAAATTGTGAAGTCATTGTGTGTGGAGATATTAATATAGATAATAAGAAACATAATTCAGCAAAAGCTAAATACATCGATGCAATAGAATCAAACGGATTCAGTCTTTTAAGTTTTTCACCCACAAGGGTTGAAGAAATTTCAGAAACATGTTTAGATCATTTTATTACAAATGTTAGTGATTCAATTGTGAGTGTGTTAACTCATCAAAATTTTGCAGATCATTATCCGGTTATAATGAAATTCAATAAAGACAGTTCAGATAATGATAATGAAGCAATCCTGGTAAGAGATACGTCTTTTCTAAAGAGTGCGGAGAAGGTTCAAAATTTCAACTTCGTTTTACTGCATGAAATGAACAATTTATCATTGAAGGAAAATGAAAATGTAAATAAAACTTTTTCAAGGTTTCACAAAACGCTTATTAAAGTTTTGGACCAATTTGCCCCAATGATCAAAAAAGTTAATAAAACCACCAAGTGTCCTCCGTGGATATCAAATAAAATTAAAAACCTCATCACTAAAAGAAATAAGCAGCATCATTTGTTGGTGCAAAGTAAATATAATCACTTGATTAAGCTGCGGTATAAGGAATTAAATGAAAGAGTTAGATCAGAAATCAGAAGGTCTAAAAAAAATTTTTATATGAAGAAATTTCAAACATGTATTGGCGACTCCAGACAAATATATAAGTTTTTAAATTTGTTAAAAGGATCGAATGGAAGTAATAGAGATGTCAGTGATATTATTAGTGAAAGTGGCGATAGGCATACAGATCCACAGACAATTGCAAACGACTTCAACAACTTTTTTGGACAAATTGCAGATAAATTGGTGAAACAGTTATCAACTCCTGAATTAGAAATTAGAATTAAGGAGCCAATTGTATCAATATACCTAAAACCAGTTAATGAAAACGAAATTGCCTCAATTCTATCCGGTTTAAAATCAAAAGCCTCCGTAGGGCTAGATGATGTTAGTAATAATCTGAAAGCATGTGCGTATGCAATTATACCAAGCTTAACAATACTGATCAATGCTTCCATTAAGCAAGCAATCTTTCCCACTGAGTTATCCCAAGCAAAAATACTGCCATTTCACAAGGATGAATCCAAATTAGATGTGAACAATTACAGGCCAATTGCTTTGCTTTTGACGTTAGGTAAAATTTTCGAACGTGTGATGTTCAACCGAATATATAATTATTTAGAGCAATTTAACTTCATATACTGTAAACAGTTTGGATACAGAATCAAACACAACACCATTGATGCCATCGCCGAGGTTACCGAAAAATTGCGCCTTTCAAATAAGAAATTCATTCCATCAATATTCCTTGATTTAAAGAAGGCCTTTGATACTCTAAATCATGATATTCTAATTAAAAAATTGCCATATTATGGTCTTGTAGGTAAATGTCTACAATGGATAGTGAGCTATTTGTCAAATCGTAAACAATGTGTAGAGATATCTGGTGTGCGATCAAATTTTCTAACAATGAACAGCGGTGTTCCACAAGGATCCATTTTAGGTCCACTTCTCTTTCTTTTATATGTCAATGATCTACCAAACGTTGTCAATAACTCGGAAGTATACTTGTTTGCCGATGATACCACTTTAGTAGCAACAGATCGATCACTCGAAAAACTGAGTGATGACTTTAATGCAGTTGCGAAATGGCTTGCCGCTAATAGGCTCTCACTTAACATGAAAAAAACAGTTCAAATAAATTTCACTAGGAAAAGCGCTTCTAATGAAACAATATTATATGATGGCAAGAATTTATCGTCAGAAATATATTGGAAATACTTAGGTGTTAACATTGATTTCAAACTAGGATTTTCTAATCATATTGATTTTGTCAGAAAAAAAATTACGAAAACAATGTGGAATAATTGCTAAAACAAGGCATTACGTGCCGAGCTCTGTTATGTTTAGGTATTATGAATCAAACATTAGGTCTATCATTCAGTATGGAATTTTAGTGTACGGATGCACAAGCTACAATGCATTACTTCCGCTTTTTGAATTACAGAAAAAAATTATCCGACTCATTTCTTTTCGAAACAATTGCGAAAGCGTGTCAGATATATTTGTTAAGCACAAAATACTTACAGTTCATGAATTGTATATTTATGAGTGTTTCAAGTTTCTATTAAGGTCACTATCGAACCTGCATTCAGAAAATTATCTCAACTCGCTTTTCACTTTTGATAATTCTATTAAAAGAACCTGACGATCGGAAAAGAATTTACTGAAAATTTGTAAGCCAAAATCCCGAATAGAAAACCACTCTTTAACTAAACGGGGAACCAAACTTTTTAATATTTTTCAGGAAAACAGAATTATGCCAATTAATTCGCAGTCTCTAAATGCAAGCCAGGTGCTTACGGTAGCTCACAAATTAAAGTATTTATACATTTTAGGAAATAATGAGTTAACAAATTCTATTTTCGATAAATAATCACAGAATGTCTTATCAATAGTACCATATTTTTTATTTACCAAAAATTTTGCCCTTTGGTTAACCTGTATCAGACTTCAATTATGGGCTGCGAATCCATGCTGAAAATATGAAGCTCCAAATCCTTGTAGTTTTTGAGATAATCGCATTTTTTGAAAAAAATGAAATTTCCAAATTACTTAGAAAAAAAAAAGAAAAAAAAAAAAATTCTTTTTCAATTTTTTATTACGATCCTTGGTTTTAACTGATGCTCACTAAGCTAAGCTGCAATAATGATCCGGATTCTCTAAATAAACTCTCGAAAAAAAATGTTTCGAAAGGAGTGAAAAAAAAACTAATTGAAAAAATTTTCATTTTTTTTTATTATTTTTTTTATTTAAATACTTTTTTATCTATAGTTATTATACTTTTCGTGTCTTACTACTACCAGGGTAGACGTCAAGCGGGCAATTATTATGCCCTTGGTCTATCCTCTTCAGATATATTATACAAAATGTCAGATAAATTCAATGATGACTATTAAAAATGTGTTTCTTCATTTTCTGTATTTTTGCATTTAATTGTCTGAAGAAATAAATTCTTTCTTTCTTTAAAACTTTGAGTCTACAAAAATTCTCAAGTGACTCACGACAATTATGACGCATTAAGAGTACCAGTCAATTAGTAAAAAAAAGAAATTTACCAACTAGAGCAGTCTATAGAGCAGTAATAACATGAAAAAATTAAATGTAAAAAAAAGATTTTTTTTTTTAATTTCAGATTTTTAAATTTTTGTGAAAATCATTCCCCCACATGCCATATTAAGTACGAAGTGATAAATTTCGCTCCTAATAACAAATCAATTATGGTAAATAAGCTTCCCTGAACCAATTTGGAACGATTTCCATGACGGATTAAATCTTCGCTTATGCGTTAATAGCGCGAAATATATCGCGCGTTAATGGTCCCAAATTGGCCAAAATGGCAATCTTTAAACCCTCATAACTTTACGAAAAACGATTACAGGTAAAAAATCTTTCCAAATTTAAGCTCAGCACAACAATACTTTTTGAAATATATTTTAAAAATCCCGTCAAAAATGGTTAGTGAAAAATTCGAAATTTGTCTGAAAAAAACCCACCCCGAGCACAAATATTCTTCGTTACTTTCGTTATGAAAGTCGGAACAATAATAGTCTGTGTTAAAATCCTTAGCATTAAACAACTATTAAGCACAGCCATTGATTAAAATGAAGACTGAGCTTGGAAAAAAAGGAAGTTCAATTTATTACACAAGCTATGCTGTGTAATAAATGTGTAATAATTGTGTAATAAATGAGTGTTACGACTGAAAACATAGACCTAGCGTTCAACTCCCCTAGTGGGAAAAAAACTAATCAAATAGGAGTTGCTGTAATGTATGTCCTCAACTTCTTACGCTTGCTATCTGTTGAGTCTATGACAGATGCATCAGTGGTCTGATTGAGCCAGCCATAGTATGCAGTGAGCCAGAAGTCGATCCTGCTGGAGGCAATCTGAGGCATCGCTCCCAGCTCTTCTGGCAACCGCAGAAGTTTCTCGTCATTCGCATAGTAGTCCACTGCTCCTATGAATTGACAAGCAAATATACTTCGAAAATTGCAATCAAACAATTTAAGGACAATTAAATGGCAAATGACTTTTTTCGAGACTTATTTATATTGTTCAATTTGGCTGGAGAAATAAACTATGCATAGAAAAAAAGTACCTCAAACTGTTTTGACAAACTAAATCCCATGTATATTTTCTGGCTGTAGTTTCGTTAGATTTTTGGCTCGCGAGGGATGGCATAGACAGAATTAAAGCCATCCCTCGCGAGTCAAAAATCTAAGGAAACTTTACGACACAGAAAAAACTCTTAGAAACTCTTAACCATTTCGTCCATTCTGTTAACAAACCATTTCGTCCATTCTCAAATTCCAGAAAAGTCTAGCACATGATTGCAACTCTGTTGCTAATCGCAAGGGTAATCAGTCAGACTTCGAGAAGAACAAATTTGCGATATTCTCTTCGACCTCTTTTTCCCTGAAAGAACCCAAGAAAGCGCGTGTACTTGCCGAAGAAAACGAACGCCTCGTCTCCGTCGCTTTGGAAGTACTGCTTGGATATCTGGATGTAGTCGTAGAAGTAGTTGCCCTCCGGGATGAACCAGTCCTCCTGGTAGTCCTGTTCTATCTGCACAGTTCCCGCCAACCCAATTGCAAACAGCAACAGAGCAACCACCACAACCACAATCTAAACCAAAATCACACCGGTTTCATCAAATCATGACTGTCGACCTCTTTGACGGGAGGATGCCGATTATGATGTAGCCTCAGCCCAGTGAGCTTGTTCTGTTTGGGTTGCATTAACTAAGTAGATGTTTTCAGCTTTAATTAAGGTTTTGATTTCATGGCATTATCAAGTTGTTTTGATAATATTGATAAATATATGCAGACGCTGAATTGGAAAGCAACATGGTTCCTTGAGAGGGCGCAATAATAAATTCTGCTTAAATTATTAGTCCGCGTGTCAGGACATTTGTGTCCCAGACAGAGTAGTCGAAACGTCATGTTTAGAGTTGAGCTCAATTTGAGACAACGATGATGAAATATCGCTGGTCAGAAATTTTGATATAACTCTAGCAGAAAGGGCAATAAAGATAGAAGAAAAGAATCTACACAAATGCAAACTATTCAAGAAGTGTCAATCCTTGATTCGATAGTGTTGAAAAAGCGAAAATCGAGAAAGCCAAAGATATCATTGGTCATCAGGCTTTTTGAATTGAAAGTCGCAGTGAAGCGGAACTGATCGTAAGTTGTATCAGCACAAATATTAGAATAATTGAAAACCAAAAATTTGATCAGAACGGGCCAAGATGGCAGAAGTAGTGAAAACGCTAACGAAAATCAACTGCGAATCATGATCATACATTTCAACACAAGTCGGAAAAATCAACCTTATGAGAATAAAAAGAAATCAATTTATAACACAGAGGCAAAGCCACGCTTCGCAAACAATAGCGAGAACACGACAATAAGCAGCTCTATAAAGTGCAATAAGAAAAAGTAGAAATAAGCATCGAATTGGTAAAAATTCGGCTACATTAGATCTCCGACCTACGGCGACCTAGAGAAATTGAGTCTCACGCACTAACCACGGACGCTTAATAATCAACACACACTAACCACAAATAAAACAAAGAACAGATGCGAAAATGAAATTTCCAATGCAGCAGATCCTGATTATAGCAAAAGTGCCACCACATGCGTGAACAGTTTTAATGAACACTTTTGTTTCAGAGTTAAGTTAGAAAAAAAGGTTCGCACTAATACATTACGCTGCTCGCAAGTGTAAAAAGAGCTGCATTAGTTCGATCTCATTCAAGGGATGCATCTCGTTCAAAAATACAAACGATGATGAGCTGCAGTATATAAGGCCCCAGATGAAGCAGGACTAAAACTCGAGTTCTTATTCAATGAGAGAATTACACCTGTAAACAACGAAAGCGTGCGGTATTCTCATGATGTAGTAGTAGTAGTAGTAAAAGACTTTAATTCCATTGGTGGATACAGGGTTAATATAAATATTGAATGAACTTACGATCGACAATTTTTACAAAAACATTTGACAAAGAATGTGCATGATCTGTTTATATCAAACAAAGTTGAAGTTTTAAGCAGTAAAAATTTATTCAGTTTTGATTTGAACATTCCCAGGGGCATGTCGAAAGATATAATTTTCAGACGCAGAAGTTCATTGGCAGCACGGGGAGCTCGTACAAAGAAGTTATCGTCAGTTTTCAATTTCCTCGTGTTCGGTATGACGAATAGGCCACTCGTAGCGGAACGCGTAGGAAGCGAGCTGGTTGCACTTTTGCAGTCAACATCAATAACATTGTTATGGAGCTTCCAAAGTAGAAGAATTTCAACTCTAATCAATACATAGCTAATTGGAAGCATATTCAGATTTAGTAGCCCTGAAACATACGATGAACATTTCTTGATCCATCTTAGAACTTTGTACTGGAACAGTTCAAGCTGATGTAATAGTGTCAAAGAAGGGCACCATGCAGGAGCACCGTAAAGTAAGATTGACAGAATGAGAGTATTGTAAAGTAACTTTTTTCGACTGCAGGATACCGAGAAAGGAATATTTCGTTTCAGAAAATAAAACAATCTGGAACATTTTATCAACTTAGTATTCAGATGGGATTTCCAGGAAAGATTGTTGGAGACTATGATACCAAGATCTTTAATTTCATCAACAAATGGTAAGATGTCTGATCCGAGCAAGAATTGGATAGAATCATCATAACCACCAAAGTTCAGAACTTTACATTTGGCAGAATGAAACTGTAAGTGATTGTTAGTTGACCAATTAAAAAGAGAATCGATATCTTTTTGAACTAATGATGGAGCAGATGAGCTTTTAATCTTCAGGTCGTCTGCAAATAGATAAAATTCACTATTTAACACATCATCGGTCATATCATTTATAAATAAAATAAACAGAAGTGGGCCGAGAACACTCCCCTGAGGAACGCCCGAGGTAACTGGCAGAGGAGACGAAATTGATTGATTTATTAGCACACACTGATACCGGTTTGACAGATAAGATTCAAACAACTGGAGAAATTCAAAATCAAAGCCGAGTATAACAAGTTTAGCAAGTAACAAATGATGCGGTACTGAATCAAAAGCTTTTCTCACATCAAAGTAAATGGCTAGTCCAGGAGAGTTTTTATCGCAGGAAGAATAAATTGAGTCGAGATAGATGATCAATTGGCTGATAGTACTGCGCGACTTCATGAAACCATGTTGCTGACGTTTGATTAGATGTCTAACTTTTGGATAAATAAAGTTGAAAAGAATTCTTTCCAGGATAAGGGAAATTCGTGGTAAAATACTAATTGGTCTGTAGTTAGTAATGTCATTGCGAGCATCAGATTTGTATAAAGGGGTAACAAAAGAAGTTTTCCACTGACTAGGCCAGTTTTTGTGTTTCAATATCCAGGCATATAAATCGTAAACGAGGGGTGATATGATATCAGAGCAGTGAGATAACACGAAAGAGGGAATATTATCCGGACCAGTATTACTAGTGTCGGGACAGTAATTCAAAAATGATTCAATATCAGGTAATGATAAGTTAAGATCGTTTAAACAAATCGAAACATTGGAGAACAAGTCTGGCAATGTGAACATTTCTTGGTCATTGAAAACTGATGCGAAGAACTTGTTGAATCCAGTAGCTTTTTCGAGTTCAGTTGTCAAGGAAATATTGCCGTGATACATGATGGATGGAAGGGCAGAATTATAACCGAGAGTTTTGAGGAGCTTAAAACATTCGCTCGTAGAAGAAAGATTGAACTGATAAATAAAGACCTCTTTGTCCAATTCAATTGATTCAGAAAGATATCTAGTGATATCTTTCAATTTAATTGCCTGCAAATAAGAATTTTCTTTTTTTAATTTGCGAAGTGTTGTTTCTTTCTGATTAATTAAATGAACAGTATGCGAAGAATAAAATATCGGCAACACCTTCCTTTTGGAACGTTTTAATTTAATGGCAGACTTGAACGAGCTATTGAGAAGACTATACCACTTATCAGCATAGGACTCTATTGTGCAAGAATTAAGAGATACCAAATTGTACATAGATTGAAGATAAGTATTGAAAGTTTGGATGTTAAAAGAAGATTTGGAATAGGAACTTTGCAGCTCACAAGTCGGATGGACAGAATTAAAATTAAAGAAAATGGGGTAGTGGTCGGAGAAAATTTGATTGCCAACTGATACAGGTAAGTTTATTTCATTAGAAATAACGAGATCTAGGATATTTTTGTTCTTATGTGTCGCTTCAGTAACAAACTGCAGAAAACCATTTTCGATAATGATTTCAAGAAAAGAGCGTTCGTTTGTAGAAGAAGAGGAGTAAGTATTCCAATCAATAGAAGGAAAATTAAGTTTCTCGATGGTTTGGTCCCTGCTCGGGGGGAGAAGCGCGGACCTGTGGATTTTCACAGATCGCAAAATTCAAACCTGGGGGGGAGAGGAGCCCGACAGTGTGTTTAGCCTAGGCCACACTGTCGGGCGATACTTCACCCGTCAACAACTCACCCACGGAGTAGCCGACCATGGGGGGAAATTACAGGCAATCAACATCCCAGCAAATAGGAAGCGCCATGTGGAAGTAATGGCAAGACAGAAGAACGGAAGACGGTCAGGAAAGACTACAAAAAAGCGAAGAAACGGTGGGAAGAAGAGTGGTGGATGGAGATTGTCGAAGACGCGAGGAAGGCAGAACTCCAAGGTGACATCGGGACGCTGTACAAGACGCTGAAGCGTATTGGAATCAGAGACAACTGCACCTTTGAAGACGAAACATTCAGCCCCGAAGAGTTCCGAAGTCACTTTATGAAAGTATCAGAGAACAGATACGAAAGGGGACGAGACGAGATCGTTAGGACCATGGAAGAGATCCCCGAACGCACCGACCAGACAGCACTAGAAGCGGCCATTGAACTGGAGAGAGTGGTCACGTGGAGCGAATTTGAAACAGAGTTGGCCAAGATAAGGGATGGAGCACCAGGGAACGACGGAGTTCGGATGCTAGCAGTAAAGGTGGCCAGCAAACCAATTAAGCAGGAGCTCCACAGGATGATTGGGCAGTTGATAGACATGAAACCGGAGGAATGGCCAGAAGAAATAAAGGAAGGCTGGGTCATTCCCCTGCACAAGAAAGGCCCCAAGAACGACCTGGGCAACTACCGTGGAGTGTGCCTGTTACCACTGGCGAGCAGACTGATCGCACGTATCCTCGCGACGAGACTCCGGACATGGGCAGAAACCATTGGCGCTCTGGACGAGAACCAGAACGGTTTCCGTGGTGGAAGGTCTACGGCTGACTCAACGCAGATCATTATCCGGATGGAAGAAGAAACAAGAAGAGTGTACGGGATGACAGACGAGTGTAACGAGAACCGTCCAGGGGCTGTCCTCCTAGACATCACCAAGGCTTACCCTCGCACCAACAAACCCCTTCTGTGGGGTATGTTAGCCAGATTTGGCATGACGGACAAGGTGCTCGATCTGCTGAAAGGTCTCCATGAAGAAACGCGATACCGGGTGAAAGGAAAGGAAGGTCTCAGCGATGATTGGGCCCCAGCCAGAGGACTCAGAGAGGGGTGCGCAACATCACCTATCCTTTTCAACGTATATCATGCCGAAGCAATAAGAAGAGCGGAAAGAGAA